AATGCTGAAGGAAGAGACCTACAACTGATCCTTGAAATTCAGTAAGCCTTTCTGATAAGTGTTTTGGGGTAACGAAGGAAAAAGTTTGGGAAGCCTCATAAAACAACAGAACTAATTACACATTTCAAATTAATTTGATAGGTTACAAGAAAATTATATAGAAAATTGATATCTTCATGCACAACCTGTTATGGAGTTCTCTGAGGTTGAAGAGTAAAACTTTACAGGTCTCCCAGCTTGCAATTCAAGAGGCAACCAGTCAATAGTCATCTATGAATGATAGGTATGATTCAGTGCAGGTGGCTAATGAATTTGGTAGAAAAGAGTCAGAGACTCTCTTTGAGAAAGTACCAAGCACTAAATCAGCCTATACCAAAATAGGCTGTAACAGTGGAGGTTAGCATAGTTGGGTAAGAGATGTTTACACTTCTCATTAAGCTCAGTCAGCTCTACAACAGGAAACTTAAACTTCCTTATTGGAAAACTGTTTTCTGTGGATATATATATTTAGTGAATCTGATGTCTGCTTGGGCACCTCTTAACATTCCTGTCTCTTAACTCTTAGTTTATTCTATTAGTTTGTGGTGTTACATAATTTACTAGCCACGTAAAATTATCTCTGAAGGGTCCAAATATTTGACCAAATTATTAGCTTTAGCTTTGTATTGGCTACTGGTAGATACAAACATATATACACATAGTCAGGTTTGTGTGTATTGGGACAAAGATACATTTTTTGGCATTTGTGCTACCACCACATTGAATCTGAAATGAAACACTCAAGATGTGAGTGAAGACTCTCAACTTTAATTAAAGGGGTTTGACAAAAGTACGGCATTAACCATTGAGCAGGTTACAGTTATTTTAATACACTCAACACCGTTTTTGATGGCTCATAAATGTCGGCCAAACAGAATTGTAAATATAAAGATTGTTTTTAATACTTGGATGAATGCACTCATTGATTGCCTGAAGACTAGAACTCGTGGACTAGCCCCAATACTGAATTTCCTCATTTGAGATGCTTTGCCTGCTTTTACTGCAGCTGCCTTCAACTGTTGCTTGTTTGTGGGTCTTTCTGCTTTCAGTCTTGTCTTTAATAAGTAACAATATGCTCCATTGGGTTGAGATCAGGTGACTGACTTGGCCAGTGAAGAATATCCCATTTCTGTGCCTTGAGGAACTCTTGGTTGGTTTTGTTGTATGTTTTAGGTAATTATCCATCTACAATATGAAGCGGCATCAGAGGTGGTATTCAGCAGGTTCTGACCCGTTCTGGAGAACCGGTAGCGGACATTTTGAGTAGTTCGGAGAACCAGTAAATACCTCTGACTGCCCCTGCCCCCATCTATTCTCTGCCTCCCAAGTTCCAGCTGATCGGGAGGAAAGGGGGATTTTGCAGCGATCTTCCCCTGGAGTGGGGAGGAAATGGAGATTTTACAGTATCTTTCTCCTCCCACCAAGCCACGCCCACAGAACAGGTAGTAAAAAAATTGAATCCCACCACTGAGAAGCATTTTACCAATTTTGCAGCACTTGGTTGAATCTGAGCAGAGAGCAGAGAGTATAGTCCTATACCTTTCAGAATTCATCCTGTTACTTTTATCACTAGCCAGGTCATCAATAAATGCCAGTGACGCAGTTCTACTGGCAGCCATACATGTCCATGCATAACACTGTCTCTGCCATGTTTGACAGATGATGTAGTGTGCTCGGATCCTTTCCTTCTCCGTATTTTTTTCATCATTATGGTACAAGTTAATCTTGGTTTCGTCAGTCAAAAGAATCTATTCCAGAATTGGGAAGGCTTTTTAAGGTGTTTTCTGGCAAACTCTAATCTGGCCTTCCTGTTCCTGAGCATGGCCAGAGTTCGCACCTTGTTATAAATCCTCTGTATTTACATTCATGACACCATCTCTTGGCTGTGCTGTAAACTTTAACAATGACACATCTACCTCAAGAGCGTTCTTGACTTGGGTAGATGTTGTGAAAGAGTTTTTCTTACCCAATGGCAGAATTCTGTAGTCATCTACTTTAGTTATCTTCCATTACTTTCCAGGCCTTTTGATGTTGCTGAACCTGCTGGTTAATTCCTTCTTTTTAAGAAAATTTCAAAATATTGTTCCAACTATTCCCACTGTTTTTGCTCGCTCTCTCCCTCCCCCTCCCCCTCCCCCCCTCTCTCTCATATATTTTGCTTCTTTAGCCTAATAATGGCCTCTTTCACTTTCAAAGACAACTCTCTGGACCTCATGTTGAATGTTCCAATGAACAGCTACCAAATGCAAATGTAACACTCAAAACTTCATACTTTTTAATCTGCTTGATTTGTCAGAGTAACAAGGGAACAGGAAACCCCTGGCCATGGAAGTGCTCCTCAGCCATTTATCCACCACCAAATATGGGGGCTGGTATATTAAAATGGCTGTAACTCCTCCGTGGTTATTTCCCCAGTATATACAAACCTCATTCTCTTTTTTCCATACTGTGTGTGTGTGTTTGTTTTGCTACAATGTTCCTGGACTTCCATTTTTTAATAAGATGCTATGGGGAGATACTAAAATTCCAATTTTTAATAAGGTGCTGTGGGGGGATAGTAAACCACTTTTTTCTAGCTTTTCTAGTCAAAAGTTTCTCTAGTGTTCTGCCCTAATAAGAGTGTTTTTATACCTCTGGTATCTGAGTCAGAACATGACCAAGAGTCACATCACACTGCACAAGATGGGGAACATATTCAGTGGCAGGAAGGGAGGGTTTATAAGCCCTGTCCAATTGGCAAACTATTTACCTTAAAAAGTTAAAATTAATACTTCAGAAATTTTCACTATGATTGTTTAAAAAATAAACAGAAGTGACTCATAGAAATGAATATATTTTCCTTTTGAGGAAAGAAAGCATTATCTTGTGGAAAGGGTATATATACTTCTCAAAGTGAAGTCCTACTCTAGCATTACATTATTTCTCAGTAGTAATAAAACACATCTATACCTGAATTCCTAGATAACAGGTCTAAGCTTACATCCAGACTAATGTCACAGTACTCTAGATGGAAGATGCCAGATGGAGATGGGATTGGGAAGAATATGTGCAATGAAACTGTTCCTTTGCTTCAAATCCTGCATATTACCCACCTCCCAAAACACTGTGTATGACAAAAAAAAATGCCTACCATTTCACAAAAGAAAAGCCAATCACACTTGATAACATTTCCTCCAAAATATTTCTAGCTGCATCCAATTTATACAGTCTAGTCACATATAGGAATATAGGTCTGCCAGGCAGACATTGACAAAAATCCAATTCACTGTTAGGTTCACTTTGGTATACTCTAGTAGGGAAGGGAGGGGGCAATTCTATATTTAGTTTCTGCAAGGCTCTATAATTTAATTTGAATCATTTTTAACAAAACTCATATTGTAAACATGACTTATGATTGTTTTCAAATAGACTTAAATAAAACATACCAAACCTCTGATACAAATTGCTGATACACATTTGCAATACTGTGTACAAATGCTGCAATGCTCTAGAGAGTTTCATAAACTTTTATATATTCATAAGCATTAAAAGTATGACTGTAAAATACATTTTGGACCCAAGAATTTATGTGCGAGGTCTTCTGCTACTGCTATAGAAAAAAAGTTATATTATTTTGGATTTTTAAGTCAAAAATCCACTAGTTAAAGACAATGGAGACAATGCAATACATATAGCCTAGAATCACCACTTTTATGTTTATGGCATAACAAAGCTAGGCCACAATTATCCTTGACAAATCTTCTATTTCTGCAGCTTACTTCTAGCAAATGTTTAGGGCTTAAATGAATATACATACATAATCCCTAACTCATACTTCAAAGTAAAGAATTACTATAAATATATCAGGAATAAAACAACACAAAAATTTCTCTTTTTATACTTTTACTATATGTTTTATTAAATTAGAAATGTTCTTTCTCTAATTTACATTGCGGAGCCCAAATTTAAGTAACCATTTCAGATTTTATCTAAACCTAGTTATAGCAAATCAAAGTAGAACTTTGTGAAAATGTAGGCTATAACTTTTAAGCAAAGATCTCATGAGGAATGTGAAATTGTGCATATTGTGGGCCCAAACAATTTTATTTCAGCTTTTAAAACCATTTCAGATGCGAGACATGGTCTTAAAAGTCAGGCCAATCATTAATTCTGACTGAGCCAGAGGAAGTAATTATTCTCACATTCTAAAGTTTATGCAATATATATATATGAATTGTCCAGATTATCATATAATTACTGCTCTCTGCCACAAAACTGTAATACTCAAATTTAATGTCATCTGTCTTCAAAACCTAATATTTGTGTTTAATATTAATCAGCTTAATGCCTTTTCTAAGAGAACTTCCACTGTTAAGAAAAGCTGAAGAGTACAAAAAGTTGAGGGTCTGCAGTACAAATAATGATATATCCTATAGATCACAGGTGTCAAACTTGCTGTCACATGATGTATTGTAATGTTTTTTCCTTTTATGGAGTTGAGGTGGGCGTGGCCTCCACCTGATGCATCCTGCCCATGGGCCACCAGTTTGACACCCCTGATACAGATATATCTATACATTTGCAGAGCCATCAATTACAAACTTACAATAGGATATATTGGACCAATATTACAAACAGATACAAAAGCATATTTTTGGGTGCAAATTTTAACATCTACCTTGTGCTTTCATTTATAAAGTTACAAGTGGCAGAAACAAGAATTTGAAACAAAGTCCCAGAAAATTCAAACAAAAATAAAAACTATGAGGGGGGAAAAAGCAATGCAACCTTAAATGAATTAGTCCGCTTTACTTCCAGGGAAATGCAGCAGCTTGCTCGACTCACCCCCCTGTTACAAATGGCCAGCTGTGTACATTTGTGTTTAACCACAGTAATATGAACAGGGAGAGAATGTACATTATTTCATCATCATATGCTTTTCTTCATTTGGAGAGGAGAAAAAAGAAAAATAAGTGACTCACCAGATTGAACACAGTTTCTACAATATCCCTGTTGGATACTTCCCCAACTTCCACCAATCCTGTCAGCACAGCGAATTTCATCCTGATACCCCGGATAGGGATGCCTGGATTCAAAGACTGCTTTTCAGCTAAGCTTCCATCTTTTCCTTGTCCAGGACCACCACCTCCTCCGCCTCCTCCTTTATTATCCCCTGCTGACGGAGAGGAACAGCTCTGTCTTTCTTCACTAGCCATAGTTAGTTCACCTCCAAAAATACAGAGCAGACACCTTCGCCTGGACCTTCAGGTCCAGTTCTGAAAGCACCTGGAACGGCAGCAAAGCGACTTGAGTGGAGACTCCTCCTCTTCTTCACTCACTGGCAGGGCCTGGGCAATGGTCTGTGGAAAGGAGGTCATTCCAGAAAGACAACAGTGTAAGTGCAGGCACTTTGTTAAACAATATCTACAAAGCCTGCCATCTACCTAACTAGAAAACTCTGCTCCCTTTCCTGGAAGCACACGCCTCACTCAATAAAACCAGAGCAGGAGCAACCACACAGGTAAGCTCCTCCTCGCTGCAAATGTTCAACTTGCTCGCACCGGAGAGGGGGAAAAATTGTTTCCTAAAAGACTGTTCTTAAAAATATATGTGTATATATATATTGTAGATTTGAAGACGCAGCACCCTCCCCGGAGCGATCCTCCAGCCTCTCTCCTGCTGCTGTCCTCGTCTTTCAGCAGCTCCGGTAGGAGCAGCAAGCGCTCGCCCTGCTTCTTGCCCCTCGCGCGCGCAGTCACAGGGTGCAAGGACGAAGTCGGGCCAGCGGGGAAGTTCACACTCACCCAGCCGAGATCTCCGCTCCCGGGACGATCGGGGCCAAAGGGCAAGGAGACGCGCCTTCTAATGCCCGGCGGCTGATCCAGGCATGGAGAGAGATGCCTTCTTCGCTTCCCCGCCACCAGACTGGCACTATGCCGACCTGAGCTGGATGGAAACCAAGCGGGAGGTTTCGCTTTGGGTGAGGGGGGGGGGGAGGAAGACGCCTGAAAGTTTTTTTGGTTTTTCCCCCCCGTGCAGCTACTTCACTCTGCAGTCGCCACGGTTAGCTCGTCCATCGCTTCCTGCTGGCTCCGGTTGCTGCCGCCATGATAGCGCTAAGCCGAGCCCGAGGAGAGTTGCCGGGCGAGTCACAATGCGCATGCGCGGTCAGGAACAGGCGGGGCGGGCCGCGAGCGGGACGCAGCGGGCTCGGAAAAGGAGGCTTCCGCGCAGCCTCAGGTGACTTAGGTGTGTCCAGGTGAGAGACGCAGCGTACAAAGTAGAAAGAAGAGGAGGAGAAGGGGGCTGGCCTCTGTTTTCCCTACGGGAATGGAGGCAGTGAAAACCGCCTTTCAGAAGGAAGATGTAAAATTCGTTTTTAGTATTGGATTAGATGCTGAAAGCAAATCCTGTTTGGGGAAGAGAACTGATGGTTGATAAGTGTCGGGTGGAATATTAGATGTTATGGTTCATTTGGAAGTGCCGTCTTGTAAATAAGGATTTGGGTTTTCATCCTGTTGAATTCAGCAGGAAATGTATTTTCTCTTGGAAAAAGAATCAGGACAATTACCACATTGGGTGGAAAATGTCATTTTTTGCTCCTGTGATAATGATAAGAACCTGAAACTTCTTTTGGCTTGACTGCAGTTTACCAAAAAAAAATTTAAGGTGGATTCCCCCCCCCCCCCTGCATTTGTGCCATACTAAATAGGGTGGTTAAGGCATCAAGCTAGAAATCTGAAGACTATGAATTCTAATCCTGTTTTGGGCATAGAGCCGGCTGGACGGCCATGGGCAAGTTATTTTCTCTCGGCCCTATAAACAGGGCAATGTCAAACCATTTCTGAATAAAACTTCCCAAGAAAATTGAAAGGACTTGTCCAGGCAGTCATAGAAGAATAATAGAGTGAGAGGTCTGCTACTCAAGCAGGAGACATATCATTTCAAACAAATGGTTGTCCAGACTCTTTTTAAAGCCTCCAAAAGAAGTTCAGTCTCTCTTTGAAAGCCTCCAAAAGTCTCCAAGAATCAGGCATGATTGAATGGAAGAAGAAGAAAAAAATAGGCTTGCATATAATTGAAATAATTTTCTTTGAGCATCCGAATCTAGGTTCAACATGTTTAACCTCCCAAAATTGCTGAAGCAACTGCAAATAAATAAAATCTTTCTTTGGGGATGAATCAATAAATATTGCTAAAAAGGGGGACAATAGCCCATTGCTATATTGCAGGTTCAGCACAATCAAAGACCAAGCATCTCTAGGATTAGAAGATGGGTTAGGGAAATAAGGATTTGGGTTTTGAATGTATTTTATATATTTTGCATTTACTGAAATAATGAAGCACACGTAAGCAAATAGTGTTAGTTGAATGCACCGCCACATATTTTTATATCTAGTTAAGAATCTGGAAAAATCTAATGTTAGCATATAAATAGTACACATGTAATAATTCAAGCAAAATTCAGTATGCAAGTGACTGGTGAGTTGCAAAGTCCTATTACATATAATAACCTAGCTTTCAGAGTAGCTGTGCTTCATACTCATTCAGAGAACCTGCGTGGTTTTGCAAAACCCCATACTTTTCATCTTCTCTTGAATTTCCTGTTTTCTTATGTTTTAAAGTGTGCAAATGCAAAACAAAATGTAAATGATATATTGCAAGCACAGGTGTTTGCAATGGGGTAAATGATGGCATGTTGACAAAAATGATGTGATTTACATATCGTCGGTGATGCAAATACTAACACAAATCCTTTACATGACATTGTGCCCTTCATAAGTCCATAATGAAAAATGTGTAAAAGTACCTCAAAGTTTTTGTTACCGTTATACTCCCATTTTATTACTGTTCTTTTAAGAATGTTGGTTATCATCTTTAAAGCCCTTCATGGCATGGATCCAGGCTACTTGAGGGATTGTCTCATCCCACTGGGTTTGGCCCATCCCATGCATCCCAGCAGAGAAGACATACTGAGGGCCCCATTTGTCCAATTATTCCAGCTAGCAAGGTCGAGAAAGGTCTTCTCTGCTGTGGCATCTGCTCTCTGAAACATCCTGCCCCTCCCATTGAGTTTGGCCTCAATTTTCCTGAACATTTTAAAGGGCCTAAAGACCTGCCTCTTGCAGTTAGTTTGTGGCCCAATGGGTGAGCATCACAGTGGTTGATTCACAACAGATGCACTTCCCTCCATCCTGCTCCCCTCCCCTTCTGTGATTGGATCAAAGCATTTGCAGGTATTTTATTCTATCTACCGTATTTTTCAGAGTATAAGGCGCACCTTTTTCCCTCAAAAAAGAGGGTGAAAATCTGGGTGCATCTTATACAGTGAAAACAGCATTTTTGACCTACTGAAACTGCCCCTTTTGCAAAAATGGATGTGCAGAGGGTTTGGGGGGCTTGCAAAGTGCTCCTGAGGGCTGGGGAGGGCAAAAATGAGCAAAAAACATGCTGTTTTTGCCCCCCCAGCCCCCAGCAGCACTCTACAAGCCTCCCAAAGCCTCTGCATGCCGTTTTTTTTAACGGCCCATTTTTGTGAAAAACGGCCTATTTTTTAAAAAAACGGGGCGGTTTTTTTTGCTTGTTTTACTACAAATTAAAGCAAGCTTCCACCCAGGGCTGAAAAAGATCCTTCTATCTTAATTTTTAAATTAGCAGATTCCACATTTTCCCTTCCCTTTTCTGTTTCCTTTTTCCTTCCCTGTTTTCCCTACTATTTGCTTTTGTACCTTTTTTGTATGTTATATTATAAAGCAATAAAATTGTTAATAAAAAATAAAGTAGCAGTTTCCTTTTTCAGATTTATAACCTTCAGCAGAATCTGCAGAGGAGGGTTTAAAATCAGCAAGATGGCAGATGGAACATCACCGTGCCAGTACCATTCATTTTGATGTGATGTTGGCAAGTGTGCGAAAAAAACACAGCTTATGGAGCAGGGCCCCCATCTGCCATCTTCCTGGTTTTGTTACCCTGCAGATACAACTTAGCTGATTTAAGGAACAGCAAAGAGATTCTGTGATTGATCTGAAGAAAAGATCTAATGGAGATTTCAGGAAATTGTGCAGCAGGTGTCTAAATGAAGTCTGACACTGACAAGAATTTATAGTTTTATATAAATACATATATTTTAGATCTACAGTATATTTACAGCAAACAAGATAAACAGGCAAACAAGAGCATCCTGAGATAAATCAAGGCATACATGGCAACAGAAGAAAAAAATGGGGGAAAAGGGAAACTCCCCCTACACACCCATAGCAACCAATCACAGTGCAGATTGCTTCACGCAGGAGCCAGCAGTCTCCAACCAATCAACTAGAACTGTATGTTCTGGCTTATTGTACAACCCATCATACCAGCTATTAAATTTATGTAAATATCTTAACAAAGAATCTTTTAAAAATGCTTTAGGACTGATTACTTTAAATCTCTGTTAAATGTAGTAGTATTCGTTTTTAAATTTTTATTAAAGTTTTTTTTAAAAAAACTAATACAAACCAATATTTAATGATTAAAGTTATATGCCGCCTATCTTGAAATCAATGATGAATTTGTATACTTGTAAATATAAAGTAAGAAAAATCAAATAGGAAACTAAAAGTGCAAAAAAGGGTAGAAAAGGAAATACAAAGAAGTAGTTTCTGATGGTGTTATAGCAGTTATAAATACAATTATGAATTCATCTCTTACTCTATGGTTACAACATAACTCTTCTTTCTATAATCTATCCTATCTAAACATAAAAATCATAAATCATAACTTCACTTTTTTTGTTTTACACAAAAAGTTTGCATAGGTCTCTGATCAAAGAAGTCAATTTAGCAATTTCAGCAAGTTCCATCATTTCTAGCAAATATGTTGTTGGTACCAAATTATATCTGTCAACCTCAGTTCAGCCAAATAAGTCTGTTGAATTCCTGTGTGAGCCAGAACCAACTTCAGCTCCAAGATATAGTGGCTGTGCCTATTGGGATGTGTAGGTCCAGTGAATTTCTACATGTACTGCACAGCTCCTGTGGCATGCCAGCTGTGTCCTTTCCAGGGTCAAATGGTTTTCCAAACAGTCACTCAGGCTTGGTCATCTCATAGCTCAAATATTGCAACTTATTCTACATGGGCTGCCCTTGAAGACTATCCAGAAGTTTCAACTCGTCCAGAATTCAGTGACACAAATAGTATATGCTTTCATCAACACGTCCACTTGACACATCTGCTTTGTGAGTCAGTTTACTTTCTCTGAAGTGTCTGCCCTTTGGAACAAGGTCCCTCCATGTGACTTTCCCCCTGATTTTGGTCCAGAAGGTCTTCAAAACCTGTCTATTCTATGAAGCTTTGGAGTAGAATCAGTGGTGGGATTCAATTTTTTTTACTTCTGTGGGCCTGGCATGGCTTGGTGGGCATAGCTTGGTGGGTGTGGCAGGGGAAGGATACTGCAAAATCCCCATTCCCACCCCACTCCAGGGGGAGGATACTGTAAAATCTCCATTTCCCCCCACCCACTCCAGGGGAAGGATACTGTAAAAAACCCATTTCCACCTCATTCCATGGCAAGCATACTGTAAAATCTCCATTTCCACCCCACCTCACTAACCTGTACAACTCCATTCTCCTGTGCAGGGCAACAGAAGACCCAGCCAATCATCTGGGACTCGGGAGGAAGCAAATAGATAGGGCGGAGCCATCCAGAGGTGGTGTTTGCCGATTCTCCAAACTACTCAAAATTTCCCCTATGGGTTCCCCAGAACTGGTCAGAACTGGCTCAATACCACCTCGGAGTAGAATGGATAGGACTCCCCTGTTTCTGATGAATTATTTTTGGAATTATTTTAAATTTATTTTAATCTAATGTATTGTATTTTTGTACAGAGTAAGGAAGATGACAGCATTAATATGCAGAAGCAAGTTACCCAAGCAAACTAAGACTGAATTATTTTATTTTAAGTCTACATTACACTTAATGTAGTTGGGTCGTTGGAATCGGCAGTGACTCAGGTCTGCCATGCCTCTGAACCGGTTCCCTGGTTGGTACGGCATGGTTTTTCCCCCTATTTTTAATGTTCTGCGCATGTGCAGACCTATTTATAGGCAACTGCGCATGTGAGCG